GTATCTACAAAGGACCCTTCCTTCGAGTCAATCTCTTTACTTTTACCTACAGTACAAAATATGTTGGGATAACAAAGATTTTGTTATGGTTGCGAGAAATAAATAGTCCTAATTCCAAATTATGACAGCTTGACAACATTTCCTGAGCCTCGGTGGTGTGTTTTAAATCCCAAATTTATCAACCATGTACTACTTCACAGACTTTGCTTTAACAGGCCCTTATATTATATTTATCTATTTGGTAATTAGGACTGCCCCCCCCAATAGTCTTAATCGTTAGTTGATGTGAAGAGTCTACGCAATTTCCATTAGTCAGTCACAGAAAAACAAAAACATCAAACTGCTAACTGTACTAGTTGCGGTCACTAGCCAATTAGCGGCCCTATTAGCCGTCATTGCTTTAAGATAGTAGCATTGCTTACCATGTGACTCAGCATTTTCCATCTCTAGCAGTTATAGCTCAAAATGGATGTTGGTTTTGTGTAAATGAGATTTTGGTTTGCATTTTCTTTAACTGTCTGTGACAGATTAAATCAAGTAAATCCTCTGGTCTCCAATTTGTCAGTACCAGTTGGGTTCATTCAAGTCAGATCTTACAGATGCAGGTTAATTTGGGTCGGGTCTTAAAGGGCCAGTGTGTAGGATCTAGCGATGTAGTTGCAGACTACCCCCTCGTCGTACCATTTACAAGTGTGTATTGAAACAAAGTTGGCTGTGAAACTCATTAAAAATTCAAAAGGCCCTATATACAGCCAGTGTTTGGTTTGTCCATTCTGGGCTACAGTAGAAACATGGTGGTTCAACATGGAAGAGGACCCGCTCCCTCTGTGGATAAAAATGACTCATTCTATGATTATACACTAATGAAAACATACATATGAATATCATATTCTGTTTCTGACAACAGATCCCCCTAAATGTTACACACTGGACCTTTGAATATATTACATCATTTAAAGTACGATTGAACCTTCAAAATGAAAGAAATGAGCTTTGCCTGAACAAATAGAGGGGACAGTGCCTTTTTATGTAACAAAAACATCCACATGGGACAAAATATGATCAAATCTTCTCCTCTCACCAGTGAACTCAAACATTTTAAATGTCACATTTACACAGTAAGTGATGCTGGTGTTTTGGGAGCAATACCCGGTGTGAGCACTGATCACCTCATTAACCAACTCGATTTTCAACTATGATAGTGCTACGTTAGCAAGATGTTGGCCTTTAATTAAGACTTAAAACATAAAAGGCTGTACTTTTTCACTGAATGTGTAGACCTTTGTGGTTCGAAGATGAGATAAATGAAAGTTCTGGAAACTTCCTACTTAACTGAGAGTAATGATAGAAGCTAAATAGATATTGTCTCTGTAGGAGTTCGGAGGAAATAAAGAATTACCATATTAGTGGCATCAATTCTCAACTTCATGATTTGGCACATCATCATAAGAGGCTAACCCTTATACAGTTAGGAGACCTCCATAATTTTGTACATATTATGAGTGGGGACAAATCCATTTAAGATCCATTAGTCTTAATGGAAGACAACTTCTTCTCAAGCTCTTTTCTGGAAAAAAACCCAACACATTAAATTATCCATGTGGTCAACAATGATTAAAAGCCATCCATTTTTAACATATTATTAACATTTGCATTCATTCAAACGATCATGAAGAATATGCTTTTCAAATTCCACATTCTCTTCTTTTCAAATACCCCCAGATTCTCCAATAAAGGGCACACAGAAAACATTTTTCAGTCTAACCACCCCAGCTCAGACGCAATCATACAAAAGGCCTGACCCAACTGCTGACATAATGTACCATTTCCAGATTAATAATAGAAACACAATTTCTAGTTTGCTTCCTGCTGCAGTCGTCCTGATGTCTAATAGGCACAAACACAGATGCGATCTTTGAAAAAATGTCTTGCTTTTGCAATAGCTGCAGTATACGAGCTGTACCAGGAACAATAACCTTTAGGATGAGTGTTTCATCCCCAACGAGAAAGGGAGGATCATTGGGTTCAAATACCATAAAGTCTTATGTGTCATCAGAAAGAAATACAAATTTTAGATAGGCCTGTCACGATAACTACTTCAGTTGGACAAAACATTGTCCCAGAAATAATTGTAATAAAGTATTATTGCCATTTTAACACCATTTTATGCCACTGATATAATGCAAGTACATCCTTTCAAAAATCAATTAACTTTTAATTCTTAAAAATATTCAGACATTGGAACTGGAATGGGGAAAAAATATTAAAATACCCTTAACATGTATGCAAAATCAATAGATAATGGCTTCCTCCTCAATATAAAAAAAAAATAGAGATTTTATCATAAAGAATCTAAAAAGCTTGGAGATATGGATATAAAATTAAGAGAAATGTTAAATAGCTGTTGGCTTTGCCAATATTCTAGGTCAGTATTTTTTATAGGATATGGGATGTAGCCCTGCATCTTCTTCAAACTCAAAAAAAGGAGAAGAAAGGCATGGCGCAGCAGTTCTCAGACTGAGCTGTCGCCTGCAGCTAGAGTTTCTTAACCTCAGAATTCAACCGAGTTAATAACTGGGCAGACTGTTTTGCATTCCAGTAACTGGAGTCAGTTCATCAGTTAGACCATGACTAATCACACAGACATCCAGATCATTTAATTCAATTTAACTAAATACTTTTCCTAGCTGGATCTATAGCCTATGTTCAATCTAAAGGTTTAAGGAGAGAAAGCCACAAAGCTAGTTTGAAAAAAAGAATCATCTTTATTGTTTCTTTGTAAAACAAAGTTAAAGGACCAGTGTGTAGCATTCAGTGGCATCTACTGAACACCACACTCGACCTGGGAATGAGAACGGGCTCTGCAGTGTGTAGGAGAAACTACAGTGGCTGCGAAACAAAAGGCCCTATCTAGAGCCAGAGCATCGTCTGTAGATATAAACAGCTCATTGTAATGCAACAAAAAATAATTCCTATACTCCACCATAGTGATAATACACTAATGAAAACATACCCTGAATATTATAATCCATTTCTGTCACTACATCTTCCTCAATGTTACACAGGGGAACTTTAAAGTGTTTCCTTTATATTCATTGTTTCTTATCCAAATTCATTCAGTATTCTTAATATAAAAAGGCAAAGGCTCTATTGGGAAACTTTTCCTCTCTGCTTCACAGGCACAAATTACCAGTTTACAGCACATTAGCTCCACCGACAGTCAATAAGCACCACTCCCCTATGCAGTAAATGTAATCATACTGAACCACTTGGTGAGCACATGAATTAAACTTGAGGACAATGCAATTAGTTATCTTTAAAAAAGCTGGGTATACATTGCTGTATTTAGAAGAGGGATCATTTTGTTTGTTTGTTGCTGACAGCGACCCCTTCACATTGCCATTTCATCCATTGTTAATATAAAAATAGATTTGTGCAGCTTCAAGATGGCTACAATATATAGTAGCTTGAAAATCGCATACAGTACTAAATATACTTTAAAGTGCATGATACTACATACTGTTAGCTTTTGTGTCATTTTAAGGGAAAAATAAAAGTACTTTAGTGGTAACCAATGCAACTTTGCAATGAGATATATAACCCTTATATAAAAGAGAAAAAAATTATAACTACAACTGGCCAACACGTGGCCTCACTTCAAACATTGTCACATGTCCAATGTGAACAAGCCACAAAGCTCTTTCTTCAGAATAATCACCTGCTGAGAGGCCCTTGACAGATCTCAAGGATCCTCTTTGCACATTCCCCCCCGCTAAAGCATTGGCAGAATCAGACGCCATTAAAGAGTATTATCCAAGCAGGAGGTGCACAGCTCTCAGACATTAATCACGTCACCTGCCTTGCAAGGATGGCAAAAAAAAGAAAATGCACGAAGTAGACTGACAGCAAATCTAAGGTTTGAATAGCCGAATAGATGGCAAGCCGGGAGAGTAAGGAAGCTGCAGCATTAAAGGATGTGTTGCTCTGATGGTTTTAATGCGGTTTATAGAGCACAGCGTACATTTTATCTGCCATTTCAACTCATACCTCTAAACCATCTCATTCATACGTAACGGTGCAGGGAGATCCATTCTTTCAAACCAAGCGCTGCTAACTGATCCATACGTTGTAACACAAGTCTAGATCACATGCCCAAACTGCACATGGGCACAGGATGGCAGTCAAAACAGCACTACAAAATACAATGAGGCCACAAAAACCTTACGAGCAAATCCTTGCAGCCCGACCACACAAATACCCATAATTCTCATTGTATAAGTAGATGTTGCTGTATAACAATTGACTGCTAACCTTGGTCAATACACCATGCAACCGGTTACCAATAAAAGCCTAACAGTGGTTTGTATAGTGACTTTTATTGCGGAGCAAGTGGGTAGTAAGTGCTGAGTTTGTGATTTAATACTTCATTACAGCTCTATCAGCACTACAAAAGAGAGCCGATCAGAAGGCTCTTATCGGTTAAAGTTAAGAACAGGAAAGCAGTAGTGAAAGAGAAGTCCAACCGACAAGGACTTCTTTAGGCAGGAGCTTTGAATCCACACACACACACACGTCCGAAAATCAAGGTGTTTATCGTGACATCGACAAAGCATGTTTGATTGTGGTTACTGGCACAGTTTGGCCCTACAATGTAAAGCAATAACATAGCGGGTGAATGCACTTCTCCCTTGTTGTGCGGTTGCAATGGAAATCTAACCCTGGAAAAACAACACAGAGTCTCTGCTGAGACAAGAGTATTCAAATGCCTTGTTTGCTGTATAGACGGTCTCTGGTTTTTGCTCACAGTATTTCTTACAGACCGCCATGTAATATCTGTCACTGTGGGCAAATTACACAAACAAATCTGCATGTTGCAGACACACTAACATAATAGATTTCCAAACCTTTCTGGACATTCCTAATCCCACTTTCTGTGAGCCATTTTCTTTTTGGAAGGGCAAAACAACACTGGGTTGAAGGTAGCAGTAACTGTTCCTTACCTCTTTGTCCATGCTGTCTAGATCCTCCTTGCACAGTGTGTACAGAGGCATACTTTCTGACATGCTCGGCTGTCGTTTCCGACGAGACGGCCCCGGCTGCTCGTCGTCTTGGCTGGACCCTGCCGCGTCATCTTGCTGACACTTTGAAGTTCCCCTGTGGTACAATAACAGACAAATAAGCATAAAACACTATGAATAGGTGGACTAGTTAGTTAGCTAAATGGACAGATAGAGGAAGGTTTCAGATTTTTACTGTGATCCAGGTTCTGACATCTACTGTATCTTTCTATACTATCAATATCATTAGTAGCTTAAAAAACACCTGTTTTGACTTGGTCTTGTATAAATTGTCAATTTTACTCTTCTCTTAATTTATTTCTATCAGGGTTGGGCAATTGGAAAAATCACCAGTTGTTTATTCTTGACCGAATTTTGTCATTTTATCTTTCTAATTTAATGGTCTGCCGCTTAAGAAAGAGAGCCGCTCAGTGACAGACGTTCAGCAGCACAGTACAGACGCTGAGCCAAAGAATGAGTGAGAGGGAAAACAGCTGCAGAGCCGGTGTATTTTCACATCTAACTGTGGTGAATTAAGGGTTTATTCCGATTAGGTTGACGACAGGGAATAAAGTTAGAAGGTGATTCGCAGAGGATCCAAACAAGACTGTAACTCCGGGGAAGATGGGAACACAGCAGGGACAGGAGATTATAATGAACATGGTGAGTTTTATTTTGTTTCTGTTGAGTTTGAATGAAGTGTGTTTTAAGACTGCTTAACAAGCTTAATAAGAGAGAAACTTTTTTTAATTATTGTATTTTCTGTTTAATGAGAAAAG